CTTCTTCTTCTTCTTCTTCTTCTTCTTCTTCTGCACTTCATGGATCAAGTTTTCCTTCCATCGTTTTTTGAGCCTCCCCACGTCTCTTCTTCCATGTGGTTTATAGAGTCTTTAGACCCTAATCCTTTCACACTCCTAGTTAATATACTTAATGCCTCCGAAGTTTCTTTATTCTTGTCCGTTATGTGCCGTGATCCGATCGTCTATCTCCGTCCGGCGTTATCTTGTGAAAATTGCGAGTTCGAATTTAAGTCCGAAGAGGTTACCAGCCTCTCGCGAAGGAACGTGGGGCAATGTGAAGCCATTAAGCTTGTAGCAACAATATTGTGTACATTTTATTTTAACAAATATTGATACATACCTAAAAAAATTATTAGATATTTTCTGCTATAGGATATGGAAAGTCTGTGCTTCTTTCTGTAAACTGGTTCTTAGATTTTTTAATTTTCTGGGAGTCTGCATTTTTTTCTTTGCCTCAGGGATGAGGCAAAATGGAACAAAGCCAATTAGACAATTGTTTACTATTTAAAGAAATATTGGTAAATGATATAAAACAGAATTTTAAAAACCATATACTGACGTTATAAAGATATATTTTACCTCTTCATTGCTATATTTATCGTTTGGTGTGTTTAAAGTGGGATCCTTGGCAGAACCTAAAAGATCTCTTAAATAATGTGATGTTATGATGGCGGTTTTTCCAGTTTTAGGGGTGGACTTATTCGAATTTGATCGTAACTTGGGCACAGAAATAATTTCTTCTGGAGTAAATATAAGGGATTAATATTCTGCCTCCACCCATGACGTAGTGGGGGTAGCTCAGAATGTATCTTTTAATGATTCTGCAGACAGTTCAAAATTTGTTGCTTCTGCTGAAGCGAAAGCGTCATCAAAAAATATTTGAGGTTATATCCCTGTGTTTCTAGATCTAGAGAATGCATTCTGCGATGTGGCTGCCCATACAAATGATTCTACAAACAAAATTGACTTCGAGTAGTGTCACTACTTTTCCCTGGTGATTTCGAAGCCAGTTCTTAACACATTGTGAGTAAAAGGTTCTGAGGGGTAACATAAAACTCACCTACTCCTAAAATCAATAAAACTGAGGCATAAAATCAAATACTTTAATAGTTCTGCGTTGTTAAGCCAAAGATAATATTTTACATTAATTACGTTTCTGTAAGGCACAGAGGAAAGTCAGTAACACAGCAATAGCTCGCTCTTCTGATATGTTAGCCCTATGACACTTTCGTAGAGCCGTGCCAACACTCTTCTCGACCAAAGACTTGCTCTAGAACTGAACGGCTCCAAATCTCTTGGTTTTAAACCAAATTTCACTTTGCCACACCTTCTCTTACTACTAAATGTTACAAAAGGGGAAGGGTTTTTAGAAAACTCATACACTGCTTATGTGTTATTGAATTCCTCTAACAAAAACTAGAATATTACGCAACCTTGTCCGTGGCGCAGGGCCAGACAACGTGACGCTGACGCTGTCGCTGGGGAAGGCGTACGAGATCACGTACGTGAGCCTGCAGTTCTGCCCGCGCGCGCCGCCGCCCGAGTCGCTGGCCATCTTCAAGAGCGCCGACTTCGGAGAGACGTGGCAGCCCTTCCAGTTCTACTCGGCCGAGTGCCGCAAGGTATACGGCCGGCCGAACCGCGCCACCATCACCAAGGCCAACGAGCAGGAGGCGCTGTGCACGGACGCGCACCGCCTCAGCGGCGCCGGGGGCGGCGGGGCGCGCGTCGCCTTCTCCACGCTGGAGGGCCGGCCCTCCGCCGCCGACCTCGACCACAGCCCCGTGCTGCAGGACTGGGTCACCGCCACCGACATCAAGGTGCGCCCTACTCAGCCCGGCGCCCACCTGCCTTGCGCCGCTCGCAAAGGAATCGGGCGCGGGTTTAAGCTCCGGACGTTTTAAATTAGCGTGGAGAGTACGAAAGTTTCATTTGTAGAAATACTTCTTTTGATACACTCTTTCTGAACGGTGGTCAGAACCGGAGAAAGAGAATTCGGATTTTACGTGGGTAGAAGATGCATACTGGCTTGCATGTCCTTCCCGAAGAACACAATTACTAAGAGCATCGAATCAACAACAGGGACCTCCATGGTACTTCCTTACACTTAGACAC